AAAAGTTGCGAGTTCGCAACAAGTTTGCAAAAACGCAATAAACTTTGACCAGAACTGTTAAGGTATGTGAGTTATACCGCTCTGCGTGATCAATTACTGAAGAGCGTTGGAATAAGCTGAATGTTAAACCTCGTTTTCAGACTGACCTGAAAAACGCCTTAACGCTCCCAACACGAGATGATTTCGCCGAAAATAAGGTATGCTCAATTGACCATCACGGCGCTGCCCAAAGTTGGTGTTTGATAAAACAACAAACTGCACTGACTCTTCAGACTTCATGCATGATTGAGGACCGATATGGATGATTTTTTCGATGTTTTGGGCCAAGTTTCATTTAACAAGCTTCTCCTCTTCGCCCCTTGTGACAATTTGAGTCCAAAGGCTGTTTATCACACCAGGGCCAAGCAATCGTTAGTTGATTGGGTCTTATAAAATTCTATAACGAATATGCAGTAATTCATCACTGCGTACGTAAGATGCATGCACTGGCGCTTATCGGATGAAGTGAATATTAGTACGTGTAGGTGAGGGCATTTATTTGTGCTGCCTCGTGCACATTCCCGTTTCGCAGAGACTTGAATTTGTTTTCGGTGAACGAATTATTGCCGCTGGTTGATTGTGGTGATGATTTGCTGAGGAGTAATTTATCTGTGCACGGAAAGTGACGATGATGAAAAAGAAAACAGCGAGCGAATTTGCGATTTTGACAGTGGTGGCGAGCGAGGGATATATATGCAGATTTTTGCGACTTTTTCTGAGCGACCGAGTCAATGTAGCAAATGTGATTTTGATCATTTTGAACAATTTCGTTAATCATTTACGCCAACTGATTGACTCGGCAGATTATTGAGAGACAGATTGATTCTTAGTCCTTTCACAATATGTTCTGATTACAGCCCAAGCAGTTGAGGCTTCGAGTTCAGAAATGGAAAAACCATGTCCTGTTGGGTTTCCATTACCACAGTTTCCTGTGGTAATTTGCAAAATCCTATGACACGAAGTCTCATATGTTATGTATCAATAGTGACAAATGAAAATATAATTGGTACAAATATATAGTTCAGAATTTAGCAGTTGGTATCCATTTACAACAAAGATATCAATTGGAATGAAAACTTTTAAATGCATTTCAATAACGCTGTGTGCATAGCAAAGAAAATGCCAGTAGTTCAGCACATGTCGAAAGCCGTTGCAGACGAACATGTTGCAACAACATTTATCATGGTGATTAGGCGAATTTGGCGACACAAAATTACCACAGTCTTTCGAATTCTTGCTAACTTCCAACCTTGAACACCCTAAC